ACCCGCTCAGAGGAGGCCCCTGGCCCTCAGCCCCAGCTGAGAGCACGAGACAGAAACGAACAAGTGCAGAGGCTCCGAGCCTTGAGGTAGGAGTTTGCCGGATGTGCTCGGCCCATGCCGGGAACACCACGGAGGCCAGCATGGCTAGAGAACAGTGAGGGAGGGAGTGAGAGAAGATGAGATGAGGAGGCAAGTAAGGTTCTGGGGGAGGTGCAATTATAGGCCATAGTAAGGACTAGTTGGAGCTATCTGTTGTTGCAAGATCATCTCACAATTTTGTAGCTTAAAACATCACTTTATTATGTCTCAAGATTCGGTGGGTTTACAGAATCACTGGCATGGTTCTTCTGCTCGTGTGACGTCATCTGAGGGCTCAAGTGGGCAGCAGCATCCAGGATGACTCACTCACATGTCCGACGCATCAGCAGGTCCTAGCCATGGGCTGGAAGTTTGGCTGCGGCCGTCAACTGGAGCACCTCCACGTGGCTTGGGCCCCTTCAGGATGGGGACTGGGGTCCAAGAGGGAGCGATCCACAGATGAGTGTTCCAGGAGGGGGAAGAGAAAGCCAGTCCTCTTGAAAGCCTTGTCCAGAGCTGGCACAGCATCACTACTTTCACCACAGTCCATTGGTTAAAGCGGTTGCCAGCCAGTTCAGATTCCAGGGGAGGAGGAGTCAGTTCCACCTCTGGAAGGGCAGGGGGACCAAGAGTCTGTGGCCATCTTTAATCCACAACACCTTTTCCTTTTACCCTGAATTGAGGTGTCATCAGAGGCCTCTGAGCAGGGGACAGAGAGGAGAGAATCGACTCACGCTTTAAAGGATCGCTGTGTCTGCAGTGTGGAGAAGAGACGGCTCAGGGCAGGTGAAAGCACTGAGTGAGTGATGGGGAGGGACGGGGGTCTGAGATGGCAGTCTGCAGGTCCAAAGCAGGGCCCCGACAGCGAGGCTTGTCCCCCTGACCCTGGACTGTCCAATATAGTGGCTACTAACTGCACTGGGCTGAACTTAAATTTAAAGTAATTAAAATTAAATACGATTTAGAGTTTAGGTTCTTACTCATACTAGCCACATTTCAAAGGCTTCAGAGCCAAACGTGGCCAGTGGCTCCCGTGGAGGCAGCACAGATGTAGAACATCCCCATCTTTGCAGAAACTCCTATTGGATGGCGCTGGCTTAGACCTTCTCATCTGTTACAAGTACTACATCTAAAACCTTGAACTACAGGGTCCCACACTCTGACTCCAGGCTCTCTTCCTTCCCATCCAGCTGTTTGTTTGTTTGTTTGTTTTGGACTTCCTTGAGCTCCTCAGTCTAGAATCCCTGCATCTTCTCTAGACCCATCTGCTCCTCTCCTGGGCTGCCTTGGCACCCTTCCTCCCCGAGCCAGGATCCTCCTGCGGTTCACTGTGGGATTTGCCCTCTCCCCTGCTCTCTGCATCCCTATCACTCCCTCCTTCTGCACCCACCCCCGCCCCGTCCAGGAGAACCTCACTTGACCCAGGAGCTGGGGCATCAGCGGTCTTCTTCATTCCCGTTTCTCCTGACACTGCCGAAGAAAGTGACAGCCATGTGGGCCCCGTCTCCACAGATCATGGCCTCAGAGGCATCAGAGCCAGTTCAGAGTCTGCCACGTTGTGACTGAATGACCTCAGGCGAGTGACGCACCCTCCCCAAACCCAGGGTTGATCATCTGTAAAATTGGAATTATCACAGCTTCTGTCTCACAAGGTTATTGAGAAGATAAATTATCCAGGCGCATATCCAGTTATTGAGTAAATACTCAATAACATATTTATTGCTGCTGTCATCATTATTACCGATTGTTCTGGATCTTCTCCACCTTTTCTAAGAAAGTGTGGTAAGATATACATAACATAAAACTTATCATTAGTGAAATTAAGTTTATTCACAATGTTGGCCAACTAACACCACTATGTAGTTCTAGAATATTCTTATCACCCTAAAAAAGTCCATTCGGGCAGGACTCCCCATTCTCCCCTTCCCCCAGCTGCTAGAACCATTCATCTGTTTTCTACCTCTACGGATTTTCTGACTGGATCTTTCCTGTATATAATCACACCAAATGTGGCCTTTGTGTCTGCTTCACTGCCCTTTTCAGGCCTCCTGTTAAACTAAAACCTTTCTCTTTCTTTATAGATAATGGGTCTTGTTTCTCTCAAGAGCATTCAATTTATCAGGTGTCACGTCGCTCAACTTCCCACCCATAAACTAATGTAACATGAATAGTAGTAACAACATGTTCCAGGTACTTTGCTAGGTGTCTTAGAGGAACATCTCATTTCAGTCTTTCTAACCCTCTGAGAGGCAACCACTAATACTACCTCTACTTCACAGTCAGGGAGACTGAGGCTCAGAGCAGCTGCATCACGCAAGTAGCAAGTGGCAGAACCGAGATTCCAACCTGAATCTGTTTGACTCCAGAGTTCAGCTCACAACCAGCACCCTCTGTCTCTTCCCACCCCAGGATTCAGCTAGTTTGTTACGGAGCAGAGGACACTGGATTCTTCTGTACTCGCTCAAGCCTAGCCCATCTTCCCGTGACTTTAACCTCACCCCTCCAGAGCCCCACCCATCCCCTTTCTGATATCATCAGAACTGCAGCTGATTCAAATGGCAGTGTGCTGAAATCATCTAGTTGCTTCTTCATTCGCTTGTCTGATGACTGAACTAGGATGACTCAAAGGCCGAGTGCAGCTGAGACTGTGGTGCCTTCATGTGGGCCCTCCACGTGGCATTGGCTTCCTCACCCCACAGCAGCCTCCCGGTAGACAGATTTCTTGCATAAAGCCTAGGGCCTCCAAGAGCTGGAGCTCCCTGGGAAGTGCACACCCTCCCGTGTCTTAGCCTTGGCAGTCGGGGCATAGTGCCCACCACACTCTAGTGGTTGAAGCAGTCGTCAGCTCACTCAAGACACACAGAGAGGGCACTCCAGAAGACAAGTGCTAAAGAATTTGCAGCCGTGTTTTACATGATCACAGGTTGTCTCCAATGTGTTGCCATCTCTTTAGTTCATTTTAGCCCTTAACATCTCTTGAATCCACTTCTCTGCAAGCTCACTGGGCAAGGCATCATCATCTCTGGACAGGAGTCTCCTTGCTGGTCTCTCTGCTGCCACTCTTGAGCTTTCTATCCTGTTCCCCGAAGGGATCAGCAACCAGAGGGATCTTCTTATTCTTATTTTTTAAATCCTCACCCAGGGATATTTTTTTTTTTTTGGTTTTTAGAGAGAGAGGAAGGAAGGGAGAGAGAGAAAGAGAGAAAGATTGATTGGTTACCTCCCATACTTGGCCTGGCTGGGGATCAAACCTGCACCCAAGGTATGCACCCTGACCAGGAATTGAACCCACAACATTTTGGTGTACTGGACGACACTCCAATGCACTGAGAAAACCAGCCAGGGCCAGAGGGAGCTTTTGAGTGCAAATTAGATCACATCCCTGCACTCTTTAGAACCTTTCCATGGATCTCCACTTCTCTTCGGTTGAAGTCCAAACTCATTATGAGGCCCTGAAGGATCTCACATAGCTTGTAGCTTGCCTCTCCACTCAAGGCTTATAGTTTGAGCTCCATCTCTCTCTCTCTCTCTCTCTCTCTCTCTCTCTCTCTCTGTTAAACGAGTAAGTAGTACATATAAAGCACTTAGACAAGCCTCTGCACATAATGAGCATCACATAGGGTGGAGCAAAAGTAGGTTTATGAAACACAGAGCTTATTCTTGTATTATTATTTATTAATTATATTTTTCCATACAAGCATTTGTCAATCTACTTTTGCCCCATTCTGTATATTTGATATTATTATTAGTCTGTGTTTGGAAAATATTTATTGAGCTGCCTACTCAATGCCAAGCCCTATGTGAGGCTCGGTATACAACGATGAACAAAAAGGATGTGCAGAGTTCATTCATCCCCATGTCCCAGCCCCTAGCAGGAAGAGGGACAGAATGGATGGTCAAGACGTGAAGACATGTTTGTGCAGGGGCACCTGAGGAAGCCCAGAGAGGTGCACTGACTTTCCCAAGGCCACACAGCAAACGTGGGACAAAACCAAGGTTGTAGGCACCTGACAAGGAGTCTCCAACAAGAGGGGCCATAGGCACACATTGCCCAGGGCAGAACCAGGGGTAGGTTGGGAGAGACACCAAAGGAGCCTGTCTCATCGGCTTCTTCCTAGGGGAAGAAATCTTCTACTCCAGCCCTGGCTGGCGTAGCTCAGTGGATTGAGCACGGGCTTCGAACCAAAGTGTTGCAGGTTCAATTCCCAGTCAGGGTACATGCTTGGGTTACAGGCCATGACCCCCAGCAACCACACATTGATGTCTCTCTCTTTCTCCCTCCCTTCCCTCTCTAAAAAATAAATAAATAAAATCTTAAAAAGAAAGAGAAGAAAAAAATCTTCTTTTCCAACACCTCCACCCCAATCCCAACTCCCTTCTCATGATGGGGCGGGGCGGGGGGAGCGGTGATCCTTAGCAAGGGGTAGAGGCTCAAAGAGGAAAAAAGAATGGAGAGAGGATGGCTGATTCAATGTGAGGGTAGGGTCCTCAGTAAGAGATAAGGGCTCTTGTAGGGACTCAGTGAGATAGGTGAGGCTCAGTGATGGGTGGGGGCTCAGAGAGAAGGTGGGGATGAAGTCTATGAAGAGGGTGGGGGCTCAGGAGGAGATAGACGTTTGTATACTGGGGTGAGGGCTCCATGAGGGGAATGAGACCTGGAGGGGGGGGGCGGAGGGTACAGTGAGGAGATGAAGGCTCCCTGAGGGCAAGGGTCTTCAGTGAGAGGGAGTGCTGCGGGATTCGGGTGAAGAGTTTGAGGGGGTTGCATGAGGCCTGTGGTCCAGGGAGGTGGTGGGGTCTCTGCGGGGGGCCTGGAGACTCAGACAGAGAACGGAACTCTGGAAGGGGACAGGGCTCGCGATCCTGCAGGGGTCCGCAATCTGCAGAGCTACTCCTTGGGGGGGCCCTTCCACTCCCGACTGCGGCGCAGGCGCGACCGAACCGGCTTTTGCTCTGCTCGCGCTCCTGCTCCCGCTCAGCTGAGACCGCAGGCGGAGAGGTGAGCTTAACCCCGCTCCACGCGCTGACCGACCCCTGCCCGAACCCCCACCCCTGCCCGAATCCCCAGCTCAGGCTGCGTCCCGCCTCCCTCCGGCAGGACTGCAGCGCCCGAGCCCTGGGGTGCCTCGGGCTTTGGGAGGTGGGCTCTCGGTGAAGTAGCAAGGGGCGGCGATCGCACCAGCCATCGCCCCAGACATCCCTGGGATGATAGGCTGCGAGGAGGCTTCTCAGGACAAGACCCGCGCCCACCTCTCTACTAAAAAGCCATTACCCCACCCACCCCGACTTAGTTTACCTCTAGGGGAAAGGACGCAGTTACTGTCGACCAGAGAACCGAGGTTGGGTCAGAAACATTGGTGTGGTGGGGGGCAGGGGAGTTGGCCTGATTCCTCCGTCCTGGCCCCCAGGAGGGCGCCCCTTCTCCGGGCCTGGGCAGTGTAGGGCGCTGGAGTGGGCGGGTCTGGGGCTCAGTGAAGGAGAACTGACTGAGGCGGTGCAAAGAGGCGCGATTCCGTCCGTCTCCAGGCCCTCGCGCCGGTCATCCTCCCGCACGCCTTCCCCCGAGCGCCTGCTCGGCCGCAGTGCCCCCTCTCGGAAGCTGGGCCCCCTCCTCTTCCCGCTCGCTTCCCAACGAGCTCCTCCCCGCTCCCGCCTCTGGGCACCTCCCCAGTGTTCCCGCGGCAAGCCTCGTCCCGGGTACTCGCGCGGGGTCTTCAGCATCCTCTCCCTCCCCCCTCCCGACCGCCAGACCGCCTCCTAGCAACTGGAGAAGGGGAGGGGGAGGGGCCAGGCCGAGGGGGAGGCAGCGTCAAGGTCACCTTCCTTCTTCCTTGCCAGCAGGATTGAGTGATTATGTATATTTGGGGAAGGACAGTGAGTTGCAGGGGAGGAGCTAACCCAGGCCAGCCATCCCCGAACCCTTTCCCTGCTGTCTTCCGTAGGGCCTTAAATTATTGGTGTCAGCCCTAACTCCGGCTGTTCCGCGGGCCCCATTCATTCTCCCACCCCTGCTCCTCGGCTCCTCAGCCCGGGGCGGTCCCTGCACTGGCCACGCCTCCTCGGAGCTCCGCCCCGCCCGCCTTCTCTAGCCCTCTGGTCCTTTTTCTCCTCCGCTTTTAGTCTCGGCCTTTTCCCTGTCAATTTTCTCTCTTTCTTCCTTTTTCTCCTCTTTCTTGCCTGAATTGCAGGGGAGGGCTGTGAGGAGCTGTGATTTATAGGCAGGTGTTAGCTACGGCACGCCTGTGACATGGGTGGATCGCAGGGGGGCTCCAAGAATCACCCCAACGAACACTGGCTGTGCGTGTGCCTACGTGTGTCTGCGTGTGTCTGTTCATGTGTGTTTGTATGTGTTTACTTTTCTGTGCTGTGCGTGTTTATCTGCCTGTGTCTCTGTGCGGTGTAATACGTGTGGCTGTCTGGCGTGTCTCTTCCGGGTGTCTGTGTTGGTGTGTGTCTCAGTGGTGCGTGTGTGCCCGTGTCCATCTGTGTATGTTTCTGTTTGGGGGGGGAGTTGCTGGTGAGTCTCTCTCTGCAAGGGTTTGAGGGCCACATCTGATTGGAAGTGAGAGGGGGCTGGAAATTCGTCTTCCCCTTCGGTGTAAACTCCTTTATTTTGTCTGAGGGCCATCACTGAGGTGGGAGGGGCAGGAGCCTAGTCCTCCCCCAGCACCGCCCCACTCCCCGGCTTTGATTCTAGTCCTACCTGTGTGTGGATACGCAAGTACCTTTCATTCCTGATACCTGTGGTTCCGTGCATGAGGAGAGGGGACCTTAGATAGTCTTCTCTAGAAATCTAACGCCCTTGACCCTAAGGGCCCCTAATCCCAAGGGCTCCTGACTTTCACTTCCTGTGGAGTCAAGATTCCCTGGGACTTGGAGGTTGTCACCTTTCCAGTGGCAGCCCTGGGGAAAGACCCTTTCAGGCCTTGCAGCTTGGGGAGCTCTGCCTGATTGGACAAGCATCAGCCAGGACAGCTACACTGAAGGGCAGGGAGATTTTCAGAGGAGATGGAGATGAGGACCTCTCGCTCCAGACATGGGACTCAAAAAGTACAGGATAAAAATAATAATGAAGAAATTACCATCATAATAACCATCACAACAGCTACCATTGCTTTTGGCACCGGAAGACACAATAACTATACAAAGGAAGGTGTGATCATTAGCCCTGATTTACAGATGAGGAAACTGAGGCTTAAGGAGGTGGAAGCACTTGTCTAAGGCCACATGGTCAGGAAGTAGTGGGTCTGGGATTGCAGTCCAGATAGCGAGGCTCCAGAGCCCACCGTCCCAGCCACTGAGTGGCCTCCTGAGCAAACACACACCTTTACTGACACCTACGATTACCAGGCACTGGGCAAAGCACTTCAGTGCACTGGCCCATTCACAGTACACCAGAGAAAGCCAGGCCAGGATTCTGGGAGGCCAGGCTGTGCTATGAGTGTGGAGTGTCTGAAACAGAAGTGGATGGCACACGAAGATTCAGGAGCCTGGAATGGTCTCCATGCGCAGCTCTCACTGACCCTTCCCTCTGTTGGCTGAACCTTCCCTGCCCTGCAGGAATCCAAGATGCCAAGCTATGACCGTTCCTGTGGATGTAGCCGGGGCCCCAACGTGGAAGATGGCAAGTGGTATGGGGTCCGTTCCTATTTGCACCTCTTCTATGAGGACTGTGCAGGTACCGCCCTCAGCGATGACCCTGAGGGGCCTCCTGTTCTGTGTCCCCGTCGACCCTGGCCTTCACTGTGCTGGAAGGTAAGGCCGGTGGAGGAGCAACTCTAATGATTTCCTGTGGCTTCAAGGAAGAGGTGGACTCAGTGGAGAGAAAGAAAAGGAATGCTGCAGCGGTTAGGAGTCTTGCACATTCAAGCAATGGAAAACCCAACTCAGATGGGTTTACACAATGAAGGGAAAATATCGCTTATTTTACAGAAGAGGCCAGAGGTTGTGTGCTTTCGGGCAAGGTTTGATTCAGCAGTTCAGACCCTCACACTGAGGACTCAAGGTTTCTCTTAGTCTTCAGGCTTCCCACGGGGCTTCCTCCCTGCAGCCCCTGTTAGCTTCGGGTTCTTCCCACATGTTCCCCAGCCGGCTGCTGCTTTGCTGACCCTCAGTCTTCCACCCTGCAACACCCAAGGGAAACTCTGAAGTATTTCCTTCAGAAAAGAAACATTGCTTTTTATTTTTGAAAGTCCTGGCAAGTATTACATTGCCTCTGATTGGCTCATTGCCCAGCTCTGAACTAATTTCTGTGGCCAGGGGGATAGTTTATGCTGACTGGCAGGGATGGGGGTTCATCCCACTTAAATATTACTGTGCTTTCCAGTGACTTATTGGGGTACTGCTGTCAGGGCAGTGGAAGATGAGAGAGAAACAATCGATGTTCATATCAGCCTGGGAGAGTGGCCAGCTAGGGCGCACTGTGTGGGTAAAGGTGTGGAGGTGGCAGCGAGCCCAGTCCCTGCAGTGGGCATGGCTCTTTGATAAACTGTGCAGGGTGAGCCCGCAACCTCAGGCCAAGTGTGCAGAGGATGCCGGGAGAAGAAATGCTCTCGGTGCTCCCTAGGGTGATCAGGGAAGACTTCCAGGAGGTCAATGAGTATTTGACTTTTTTAAAAAAAGATTTTATTTATTTGTTTTTAGAGAGGGGAAGGGAGGGAGAGAGGAAGAGAAACATCAATGTGTGGTTGCCTCTCACGCACCCCCTACTGGGGACCTGGCCTGCAACCCAGGACTGTGCCCTGACTGGGAATCGCAACTGCGACCCTTTGGTTCACAGCTGGTGCTCAATCCATTGAGTACACCAGCCAGGGCGTATTTGACATTTTTAAAGCGTCTTCTAGCCAGGCCATGTGCTAGGCTCTTGGGGACACAGAATTGAAGAAGGCGTGGTTCCTGTCCTCCAAAAGCTCCTAACTGTGGTTCATTTAATTATTCTGCAAACATTCTCACAGCTACTACTCTGTAGTAGCTCAGTGCTAGGCATGGAACATACCTAGTTAGCCAAAATGGGCAGTCTCTGCTCTCACAGCTCTCTCAGCTCTCAGTCCGGTGGGCAGGTAAACATTACTTACATAGTAACCAAACTACATACCCTAGTATATACCAAGGTGAGTGCACTGACTCACCTGGAAGAATGAATGGGCACAGCATTTGCATGGAGTATAAAGCAGGTGACTTAATCCAGTTCAGGGGTATCCTGGAAGGCTTCCCTGAGGAGGTGAGGTTTAAGGGCAATCTCAGGGATGTGTAGGACTTAACCAGACAGAGAGATAGAGGGTGGATGGCACAAAGGGATAAGATAGGGCCCGAATAATGATGGAGGGGGGCTCAAGACTGGCAGGAGAAATCCCCTGCCAGGTGGGGGCTGGGAAGGAAATTAAACAAGAGGCCCCAAGGTTCCACATAGAATCAGTGTGGGCCCTGTGTCAGTTAGCAGGTGTGTTCTGTGGTTCCCATCTCTTCAGGTGGATTAAGGGGTCACCTTTAAGTCCAGTTGGGACCCAAGGTGATCCCTTGGCCGAGGGGTTGACCCTGACCACCTCCCAATCTGTCTGCCTCTCTCCAGATCAGCCTGTCCTCGGGGACCCTGCTTCTGCTGCTGGGTGTGGCAGCGCTGACCACAGGCTATGCGGTGCCCCCGAAGCTGGAGGGTATTGGAGAGGGCGAGTTCCTGGTGCTGGATCAGCGGGCAGCCGACTACAACCAGGCTCTAGGCACGTGCCGCCTGGCAGGCACAGCGCTCTGCGTGGCGGCCGGCATCCTGCTGGCCATCTGCCTGTTCTGGGCCATGACCGGCTGGCTGAGCCAGGACAGCAAGGCAGAACCCCTGGACACGGAAGCTGACAGCCACGTGGAGGTCTTCGGGGACGAGTCAGAGCAGCAGCTGTCTCCCATCTTCCGCGATGTCGGTGGCCAGGCTTGGTTCTCGCCGCCTGCCAGCCCCTTTGGGAAATCCTCTGTGCAGACCATCCAGCCCAAGTGGGACTCCTGAGCTGCCCACACGGCCAAAGGAGGCACCAGGCCCAGGGTCTGGACCCTTCCTCCTCCCACCACACCACACCCTCCCATTGTCTCCTTAACTTCTCCCTGTCAGCAGGGACCCTCCTTTCTACGCTGCCAGAAGGCTCAACTCCAGGTCAGAAAGCCTGGAGCTCACATCCTCATGCCCATTCCCAGGGGATAGGGCCCCAGCCCATTCTAGATGCCAATCTTCCCCAAGTCCACTCAAAACTTCCCAGCCACCCCTCCTTCCCCAGTCCCTTCAGGGGCAAGAAGCGTCTCCCCCAACCTGTCCTTACGCCTCTCTGTCTGGGACCTTGGCCAAAACCCCTACCCTTTCAAACCACATTCCTGCCTCTGTGTTATAAGGGGTTTGGACCAGATTCTCAAGTTCCATGACTTTCCTATCCTCCCTTAATGTAAGTGTTACCCTCTATAGGCAAAAATGGGTGGGGTGGCAGGGTCATTCTCCTCCCTCGACCCCCACCCTCTGTCAGCTGCACCAGGATGCCTCAGAACGGGTCAAAGATGCTCACTGGGCTTCCTGTCCAGGATGGTGCAAAACCATTTAGCCCCTAGAGTATGTTTTCTTCATGCAGTTTGGCATCCGGGCCCCTCTGTCCACCCCATCTTGGGCTAGCACTAGCCCCAGTGCACAGATGAGGCGGCTGGCCAAGGCTGGCAGTCTGCAGGAACAGCGACTCACATCTGCTGACTCTCCCAGGCCAGCTCTTCTTTAAAAACAATTTTTTTTTAATTTTTATTTATTGATTTTAGAGAGAGAGAAAAGGAGAGAGAATCACTGATTTGCTGTTCCACTTATTTATGCACTCATTGGTTGATTCTTGTATGTGCCCTGATCACAGACGGAACCCACAACTTTGGCGTATTGGAACGAGGCTCTAACGGTCCAACCATCCGAGCTGCCCTCCCAGGGCTGGGCCAGCTCTTGTTCTACAGCTGAAGCAGGGCCCTGCACCTTCCTGGCTTTCACGGGACCCGCAGGGGCTGGGGCCAGGCTTGGCCCAGGGAAACTAGCTGGAAGCCTGATGATCCCAAGTGGCTCAGAAAATACTTTGAGCATGTACTTAAATGGTCTCTATGAGCTAGGAAAGCAGACCTAGGATGGCTTTGTCCCTCCAAGTCCCCCCATCCAGAAACAATCACCCACAGGTGACGCATCATCCTCATTCTCTACCACTAGGCGGCGCTCCAAGATGGCGGAAAAGAGTTGTCCATGCCACACCCCTACCCCCGGGCTCAGTGTCTCCCCAGCCTTGAGGGGCCTCTTTGGGTGGGGCGGGCGGGTGCCCCTCGGTCCTCTCCTACCAGGCAGGCCCTACTGCCCTTGTGCCCCAGGCCATGTCCCCATTCCGCACCTCTTCCATCCCACCTTCCCATTTAATAAACAGCTGGGGTGGATACTGACTTTGCTTCTTTTCTTCCTGACCACTAGGGCTTGGGGAGGGAGGATGGAGGCTGCCACCTGTGCTGGGCACTTAAATCCACTGTTTCTCATTTGCTCCTCACGAGGAAGGACATTATTATCTTCGTTTTACAGATGAGGTAACTAATGGTCAGAGAAGTGAAACCACTCGCCTAGGCTTCCAGAGGGTAAATTGAAATGCCTGCCTGTTGGGAAAGAGATTTCTCAGCTATCTTGAGGACCCATTGCCCCACCAGCCCTGAGAGAGAGGGAGGGCAAGGACGGTTTATTTTAGGGAGGGAGCTGGAGCCGAAAGTGGGATCTTCAGAAGCAAGAACAGCTCACCCCTATTGGCACTCGCCAGGGCCCAGGCTCTGCTCAGTGTTTTACAGGCCCCAGGATGTGCCGCCTGCACCTCAGAGAAGGGAAGTGCCAGCCTCCAGGTTGCTCCTGGCAAAACCACGAAGCTGTGTTTGCCTCCTCTCCTTCCTCACGGCCTGAATCCTATCCATCGGCAAGTCCTGTCAACTCAGCCTTGGAAATGTGTCCTGCACCCAACCGCTGCTCATACACACACAGCCAGCCGCCAGGCCTGAGCTGCGGCCACCTCTCGTCTGGACTATTGCATCAGCTCCTTCCTGGTCTCCCCGCTTCTGGCCTCTCCTTCCCCCAAGTCTACTCTTGACAGAGCAGCCAGATAAACCCAGCTCTGTAAGTCAGGCCACGCCCTCCTCTGCTCAGTCCCAGCTCAGGGCCCCCACCTCACTCAGATTAAAAGCCCAAATCTCCCAGACTTCCAGCCTCCAGGACTGTGAGAGAATAAATTTTTGTTGTTTCATTTTAAGTCACGTTGTATGGGGTGCTCAGTACAGCCACCTTAACAAGCAGGCTGTGAAACTGGTGCAGCCTGCAAGAGAGGCGGGGCGGCGACCTCAAAATGGAAAACAAATACGTCCTCTGGTCCCTCCCTCCTGTGCAGGTAAATCTATAGGTTCCATTATACATACTGGAACTTGGGACACAGCAGGACTGTTTGTGACAGAAAACACTTGGGAACAACCTAAATGTTCGTTGATAGGGACTAGGCCGTAAATCACGGCACAGTTACACGCAGGAGAACTATGTAAAAGAATGAAAAAGCTCCTTGTGTACTGATCTACACCGATCTACAAGTACATTGTCAGGTGAAAAGGGGCAAGGTGCAGACCCTCTGAGCACTTTTAAACCGTCTGTCTAGAAAGACGTATGGGCCTTGCTGGTGCATGGGTAAAGTCTCTACTGCCTTTGGCTGTCTTTGGGGAGGGGACCAGGGACAGGTTGGCTGGGGACAAGGGTGGGAGAGAGACCTCCACTCATCTTGGATTTTGAACCATGTGAGTGTATTTTGTTTAAAAACATAATTAACTTTTTTAAATTTTTATTTTATTTTAATTGTTCAAGTACAGTTTTCTGTCTTTTACTCCCATCTTGGCCCCCACCCCAGCCCTCATAATTAACTTCTTAAAAATAATGTAATTGATTAAACACATTTAATAAGTTGGGGAGAAGGGACTTTCCTTACAGAAGGATTCCAATAAACAGACACAGAAGGATTGAGAGAAATAGAAAAATGCCCAGCGTACCACAGTAGTGATTGCTGCAGGCAAAATCCACCCACCCTCAAAAGGTAAAAGGCGTGGGCGAAACTTGCAGGTGAAAGAGGGTATCTGCATAATCTCCCCTCCAAATACTCATGCATTTCTGTGGTGACTTTAACCTGTGTCCACAAGTTCTTAGATGCTCCGCCCCCCGATGGTGAGGCTCGGTTCCCATCTCCTTGAGGGTGAGCTGTGCTCAGCATCTTACTCCCAGCAAACAGAAGGTGGAAGGGGAGAAGGAGACGCGCAGTGGAGCCATCTGCCAGGCGCTGCCCGAACCAGTGGTGAAAGTCTGGCTGATATCACGGAGCCCTGAATGATGCAAGAAGTGTACTTCATTTGTGCGGCTCTCTCCCCTCCAAATCCATGCTTCGGCCTAACCATGGGAATACCCAAATTAAAGAATGCTACAAAACCCCACCAGCACTCTTTATAAGCGTTAAGGTCACGAAAGACCAAAAAAAGGCTGCAAAACTCACCAACCGAAGGAGAGAGCATCCAGGAGGGCATCTAGGAACTGTCTGGACTCTTTGCAACTCTTCTATAAATCTAAAATGATTTCCAAAAGAAAGCTAAAAAAAAATAATACAGTTGTTCTGGCCAGGATGGAGTACCGAGAATCAGTCTCACTCACGCACCGGAAAGAACCCGAGGACGAACTAGAAAATACGGGAGTGAGAGGCGCCCTGCAATCGCCTGGGCGACTTCCCTGAGTTCCCAGTCCAGGGCATAGATTTCAGTATTTCTCAATACATGATGAAGCATGTAGTCAGAAAATCAGTACGGGTGGGGAAGGCCTGACGACCAGCACTGTCACCCAACTTGGCCTAACTGGCATGTAAAGGGCACTGTACCCAACAAGCGCAGAATACAAAAGGCCTCAGGCCTTGGTGGCTCTGGGAGACCCAAGGGGCACGTGGGAGGACTAAAGGGACACAGAGCTCAGAGCTGCCCCGGGCACCCTCTGGGGCAGCTCAGCAGTTGGACAGCTTCCCCTACCTCAGGGGGAGCTATTTTCCCTCCATCCTGCAGTCCCTCCCCTCTCTGAGGTGGGGAGACCTGGGAAAGGAGGAGGAGAAGGAGAGGGGTATCTACCTTTGTTCCATTTCTTCTGCCAGAGCCTGAGTGCCCACCCCCACTACCCAGAGGCTGCCCCTCCTTCCCGCTGGGTCTTGCCCTTCCTCCCTCACCCCTGCCGACCCAGCGGGCCAGCCCCAGACAAGCTCCTCCACCTCATCCCCAACTGGGCCAAAGAAGGGTGACCTGGCGCCATTGCCTGGCCTCTGGGGACACTGTGTCCGGGCTGGGAGCTGAGAGGCCCCACGGTGAGAAGGAGAAATACAGCGATATTCATGGGGGGCGGGGAGAGAGAGAGAGAGTCAGATGGGGGGTCCAAGAGGCAGAGGATCTGCAACATTCACGGCCAAACTCTTCATCCCAAATCTCGTGTCAGGCAGTTGGCCAGGGTCAAGTCACTCTGTGAGCCTGGGAAATTTTTTAACCAATCTGAGCCTCACTGTCTTCGTCTCTAAAATGGGCCAACAAGGATACCATGCTCTTGAGACTGTTTGAAGACCTAATGAGCTTGAAGCTGTGCCTGGCACAGAGAAGTGCCCGCGGAAGGCTAGCTGTTGTCACGAAGGAGGAGAAATCCGAGGTTCAGGAAGAGCGGGCGGCGCACAGGGCACAACTGAAGATGACTCAGACTCGGCCCCGCCCTCCCCGGGCTTCCAGTCCAGTGGAAGGAACAGTCTGGCGGAGAGGCCATGGTGGTGTGACGGGGGAGCGCTGCGGTAGAAGGTCATGTCATGCGTCACAGGGACAGACGCAGGGAGATTCAGAGCAATAAACTCTGCAGTCCGTCCTGTACATGAACCGATTCTGGTAGTCTGTACCGCACAAAGGTGGTTACCGTGATCTCCAGCTCACAGAGTGGGCAAGTGAGCACGGAAGGTTGAAGTGTCCCGCCAAAGGTTGCACGGGTGAGATGTGAACCCAAACTATCCGGGTTCAGAACGCCCAGACCCCGGCATCCATAGATACAGAGGCGATGCCAGTCTCCACGGACTCTACCAACTAACCAACCTGGTCAGTGGCGAGGTCATACTCTTAACCCCTCACGCAGGTTCACATGGACACAGGCAAGCACGTGCTTATCCACCCAGATAAACACCAGCTCCCGCCCGTGACGAGAGCTCAGCGAATCCTCCGGAAAGTCAGACTACAGGTGTGCATTGTTGGGGAAAAAATCACCTGCCCAAACGACCTCACAGACACGTGTCTATATGTAAATCAGTGGACTCATATGTGACTCCTGGAGTAAGCATGTTACATGTGTAGATGTGCACCAGTGTGTGTTCATGTGCACGCCAACAGGCATGTACGTTATGATGATGATGATGATGTATGTCTCCAGACATGCTGATACAGTGTGCATTAGCACTTACTGTGCTATGGATTTCTTTTAGCAGCTGCACCTACGGAGCATCCCTGATGTGTGAACAAAGAAAGATAAGGCTCAGAGAAGCGAAGCGGCTTGCCCAGGGTCACTCAGCCAGCGAACAGCAGGGCTGAAAGCCCTGGTCCCGCGGTATCAGGAAGTGGAGTCTGTATTGCTGTGCAGTCGTGCTCGTGGGTGGACAGAGGTGCCACAGCTGGAATCCCACACTGACGTTTCCTGTGACCTTGGACACATGACATCCTCTTCCAGGCCACATTCTCACATGCCTGCTCACAGGTGTGCCCCGTGGGTGTGTGGTGATCAGGGGCTCTGGCCTCGCTCCGAGGCCACCTGGGCTGGTGTCACGGAGGGCTGAGAGCTTCCTGTTTCACCCGCCAGGCCCCAGAGCATATGACTGGAAGCCAAGCCCTGGACATCAGGAACCTGGCAATGAAAGAACTCAGGATTTCATCAGCACACGTGGGCAGAGCAGAGAGAAAAAGGGAGGAGAACAGGATGGCCACTGGGGTGTGCACTTGGCAGGGCCCACAGGCCAGGTGTGGCAGGGGAAGAGCTGCCAAGGCTGGGCATCTAATGGGGCACTCCGCAGATGCACGCTGGTTGGGTGGGGGCGGGGGGAGCAGGATTGATTGCAGCACTGCCCCATTGCCGATCTGGGGGTGGAGGGACCGAGAGAGTGAGTGAAGGAAGGGTAAGACAGTAACCATGGTCCGCAGATGCTGAGTGCCTGCTCTGTGGAAGCTTGGTGAGCAGGGTGGACACCGCCCTGCCTTTGCACAGCTGAGAGCTCAAGTGACCCCAGTCGGGCCGGGTGCAAAGTGACTCAGCCAGTGTGAGCAGCCGTCGACGTGCCTGGGCAGCAAGAGTGTGCAAGAGAGGT